TAACCAAAGTCAGTCATTATCACAAGATTAAAAATACCATTTTTATTGAAGGGCATCTTTGTCCTGAAGAAGTTACAGTGTTGGGGTGGTGGTAAGGGTGTTCCACTCAGAAACACCTCAGAACTTGCATCTGTCTTGTCTGCTTTTGCTTTCAAACCTTTTGAAATTTGAGAACTTTTTTTTTTTGCAACTTTTCAACTTCACTGCAGCTAGGGTAGCAAACACAAAATCTAGCAAGCACTTCTATGAAGTTGTGGTCATAGATAAAGCATTTCCCAGTTGTGAACGCAAAAACATTCTTTGCCTCAACAACTGAAGAGGCAAAATAAGGCCACAAAGATCACAGCATACCACAACCAGGCAAATTAACAGATTCAACAATTTGTGTTTCTGTATCTTCCACTCACTACAGAGATCCAAAAATGTAAACAAATCTTTTTAAAATTAGCTGCATATCACAATGCCTTTGCAGTTAAAAAAAACCAACTGGAATGAAACTTCAATCTGTAAAATAAAAAATCTAACAAAACCAGTATGTAGAAAATTTATCTTTCTGCTTCTTCCTAATCTTAAAGTCCATAAATTGAATGATACAAAAACCCCACACAGCCTTACGCAGATTTTTATCAGCCTTCATCGCCTTACGCAAAGGAAAAACTGTACAGACATTAAGACAGCTTAATTCCCCATGTTACCCTCACAGGAGCCTCCTCTGCCCTCCTTCCTATTTCATTTTTTATAAATAAGAATATAAATATACATATGTACACATATATGCCGGTTTTAGCCCTAACTTTTCTGTTAGTCATGGCTGTAGTTGACAGGAATTGAACAGCTTTACTCTGATCTAGACCCATGCTACTAAGGAAACACTGATTAAAACCGCCTCTAAAAAATGTAGTATTTAAATTTTTTAAACTATTAGAAATTAGGTTTTTAATCTCTGTTCCTACAGAACACACAGGAAACAGAGCACACACATTCTAACAAAATTCACATCTCTAAGTTACGAAGAAAGCAAATGGTCTTGAGAGAACAATCTGTTCTGATCATAATCTTGCATTCTACATGGAGTTAACGTGACATCTGGCAATTCCTAGAAGACAAATAAAACTCACTTGGAGCGGGACCGTCTCCTGTTGTCGTGTCTCCGTCGAGAAGGACTGGGAGAGCCAGAAGAGCTGCTTGAACTGGAACTGCGCGAGGTGCTGGAGCTCCCAGAGCGGCTAGAGGCAGAAGAAGAGCTTGAGCCACTGCTAGAACCAGTGCTGGAACTGGACCCTGAGCTGGAAGTTGAGCTGGAACGGGATCTGTTTCAAGGGGGAGAAGAATAAAAATTAGTGGAATACCCAGAAAAACAATGGCTGAGAAACTTCTGACAATTAGAGAAACTGCGACTGAAACTCCACAGCTCACCAGAGAACCAAAGAAATTCATACCTAAAATATAAACCCTCTTAAGTCAGACAAAATCGCACAGTGACTGACACCACACAAGCTTTCAACAGGCCCAGGACTAGCACAAATAAAGCCACTGATTTCCGAAAATGCTGTCATTGTAACACTCCCACAGAAGTACCCACCTGGTACTGCTGCTCCCACTGGAGGCACTGCGTCTTTTACGTGTCTTGTCCCGACCACGATCCTTTTCACTCGATTCCTTAGCAGCTGCTTTGTCCTTGGACCGGTCCTTCGATTTCTCTTCTGACCTGTCCTTGCGCTTGGTTGGTGAGGGAGCCCTTTAACAACAAATTACAGAAAGCATTGCTTAATTTAAAAAAAAAACATAGACAACAAAAGCCCCACACACAAATAAAGAACAGGACAGTAAAAAAAGCCACTGAACTTTGAATGTAACTCAGGATCACTGAAATTGTGGAGTTAAAGCTTTAGGCAATTCCAGACACTCTAGAAAAAGTTCTAGCAAACTCTTCTTTTTCAATCCTGCTAACTCCTTTTCTCCTTCAGAGATATCCATAGCAGCAGAAGGGGCCCCATGTCTCACATCTCACTTCTAACTACTGGATTCAGAGAACCAGTTCTCTATTGGCTCTAGATCCAAAAGGACACAGATTTAACACCTCTCTATCTACACTGAAATGCTGGGCACTAGCTGACTTCTAGATGTTTACTGTATCCATCTGCTGCTTCCATCACAAAATCTGCAACATCTATAAACATGCAGCATTTTGATTATTCCATGGCGATTGTTTAAAACCCGCATTACAGACCTGCCTCTACCATTTTAATAACCTCTAAAGGAATGTGACACCCTCAACTACCAAAGAATTAAACATTCAGGGAACGAGTCGAAGTGTGTTGGAGCTGCCAGCCTTATCTGTAGCAGCACTGAATATGCACTGTAATGTGGGATGCTGGAAACATCTCCATCCCCACGTGCATCACAGGCAAATTCAGTGAACAAGAAAAAAACTTCTCCAGCATCCAACAATCTTTTTGCTTCTGTGCTTCTGGTAAGCAATCACTTTATTCTCTGAATTGCAATTAAATGTATGGTTGGGAAGAGATTACTTCTGAACAGCCAAACTTGCTTATCTGATTTTCAGCTTCACAGTTTTCCCTAATACACCAACTGCAAGAAACAACACAAATGAATATTCACAAACCTAGCTCCCGGCAGAAACCAAGAAACACCCATGGCCTTCCTGCATGGAGGACAGGAAACCCACACCACAGATGTGCCACTGGCAGAAGTTGCTGGGAAAGGAAATGTCTCCTCCAGCACCAGGAAGAAAGCAGACTGTCCCATGGGCGTTACGAAGGGAGTCAAGGCAAGCAAACCTGTATGTCACTCAGCTGCAGGACATTTCCCTCCAGCTCTGTGCCTCTCCAGTGCAAGGTCTGAGGGATGCAGTTCGCAAAGCCACTGCATGAGGCCAGCTGGGGAGTACAGAACAGACAGGCTCCTGGTTTCACAAGACCAGAAAACCTAAGATTTTCCTTTCATAAAATCACAGAATCACTGACTGGTTTGGGACGGTGTGAACCTTAAAATTCATCACTTTCCAAACCCCCAGCTATGGCCTTCACTACAACAGGTTGCTCCAGCCTGGCCTTGAACACTTCAAGGGATGGGGGCTTCTCTGGGCATCCTGGGCCAGGACCTCACCACCCTCACAGGGAAGAATTTTTTTCTAATCTCTAATGTAAACCTGCCCTCTGTCAGTGGGAAGACATTCCCCCTTCTCCCAGCACTCCAGGCCCCTGTAAAATGTCTGTCTCCATCTCTCTTATAGGTTCATTTCAGGTACTGGAAGGCTGCAATTAGGTCACCCAGAGCTCATTTTTCTTCTTCTCAATATCCCATAGCCAGGTTTGGCTTATCTCTGCCTACACATCAGCTCCTCCTGCACTTGTGGACTATCAAAGTCATAATGTTATCGGCATACAAAACTATCTGTTACTGCTCAGGAGTCAGATCTGGTTCTGCCCCTCCTGGGAGAAGGGAAGAGGAAACAGATAAAGACCAGCATGTTTGCTGTTACCCAGCCTGCTGCTGAGGCAGGACATAGCATCACAGAATCAATTACATTGGAACAGACCTCTGAGACCATCAAGTCCAACCTCTGACCCAACACCACCATGTCAACTAGAGCAGAGCACTCAGTCTTTCTATAGACACCTCCAGGGATGGTGACTCCACAACCTCGCTGGGCATCCCCTTCCAGGGGCCCGATCGCCCTTTCTGTGAAGACATTCTTCCTAAAGTCTGATTTAAACCTCCCCAGTGAATCTTAAGACTGTGTCCTCTTGTCCTGTTGCCCATTGCCTGGGAGAAGAGCCTGACCCCCACCTGGCTACATTCTCCTTTCAGGTTTCACTGCTTACTGCTCCTTGGGACAGGCACTTACCTACCAGGCAGATCAGCCACATGGCTTTGGTACGTCATTCACCAAATGCTACATTTAAGCAGTCTCCAAACTAACCAGTGGTTTTAATCCTTTCTCAGGAATGCCACTGGCCAAACTCACTTCAGTTGGAAACCTCACCTACCTTGTGGGCATTTTCACCTGCACAAGTTCAGGCATTCACTGGAAAATGTGGAAAGAACAAATCACAGTCCTCACACAAGGCTAAACAACACTGCATTTCTAAGCAACATGTTTCTTCCTTACAAAAACCTCTCATTCTCTGAAAAATAGCTGGTTTAGGGGCATTCACCACAAAACAGAAAGTCTAAAGAGCAATCGACACAAACCAAATGACCATCCCACACACGCTTCTGGCTTTAGAGACAGAATCTGCACACTCAGAGCAGCAGTTCTGCGGCAGAGGAAGCAAACTCGCTCGCCCTCAGGCCTCCCGTAAGGCTACAGGCGAGTCCTTTACTGACAGTTTACTCCAGGTCTTCAGCTGCAAAACGGCAGAACACCTGGCGTGCGGAGGGTTCCGGCACTTGTCTGCCCACTAGGGCCGCTCGGCCCAGCTCTGCGGGCGGCGAAGCGCGGGGCAGCCAGACCCGCACGCCGTGGCTCCGCTAGAGCCCCGTGGGGCAGGGGCCCGCGAGATCAGCACAGCAACCCGGCCCTCGGGCCCGCACAACGCTCCTCCCGCAGGCCGGGCCGCGGCGGCGCCGACACCCGGGCCCGGTTCCCCGGCCGGCCCCGCCCCGGCCCTCCCGCCCCTGCCCTCCCCGCCTCCGGCCGCGGGAGGCCGCGGCTCCAAGGCCGCATCCCTGATCCTCGCGCCGCCATCGCCTCTCGGCGGCCCCAGCGCGCTCCCTCCGTCGCCCCGCGCGACGGAGGGGCCGATCGTGCCGCGGCCTGGCCGGATGGACGCGGATGGTGCAGCCCCCGCCCCGCACTCACATCTCCGGCGCCGCCGCCGCTCTGCGCCCGTCGCGCGAGTTTGACGCGAGCGGGCGGGAAGGGGCAGCGCCGGCGCGCGGTGACGGCGTCATAGCGCGGGGCGGGACGGGCGGAAGGGCTTAAAGCGAACGGGAGCGGGCGGGGCGAGGGTGCCGCTACCCCGGGGCTGGAATAAAGGTTCTGCTAAACCCCGTCCTGCACGGTAATGACAGTAGCGGCTGGGGCTTCAGCTCTGGGCTTTAAGAGCTTGACAACCCAGCAGGCTGCAGCTCCCGCACGTGAATTGTGGCCCGCCCTGTCTCAGGTGCAGGTTCACAGCAGGCGGACTCTGATCTGAGGGGGGGAGGTGTAGGGACGGCGCTGCTGTGAGGGGATTTGCCCTCTCAACTCAGCAAGAAAATTGGGAAGAGGAGAATGAAAGACTTAAGATGGAGCACCACACAGTGGCATTTAATGTCGTGGGATGGATATCCTCTCTCTCTCTCCCTGCCAAATGTGTTGGCTGTGAACTTAAAAGGAGATTTGCCGCTGCAGACACTGAACCTCTGACCTTCTCACCACACTGGCTGCCTGACTTTTGACTTCAGAGGAACAAAGCCAGAAGTGTATTTGGACCCCATCCCTAATGCAGGGCCTTAAAAGAGACAGATCTTTCTGAGAAGCAGGTGTGCTGATCAGCTTATGTGTGTGGCCAGAGACATCTGTTAAATTCCTAATGATGGAATCTTCACCTCGTGAATGCAGTGGAAGGATATGTCCTGTCTACCTCCATCACAGGACATGAGCAAGACCAGGGCAGGTGTCTGTAAATTCGTGTGTGGCAAGAAGAAAAACAGGCTTATTTTCTGTTCTGCTGCAAAACCAAGGGGTATTACATAAAACCTGGCATGGAACAGGTTAAGAAAACAAAGAAAACCACAAAGAAAGCAAAAAGGAAGTTGTTCTGTCCACAGCATCTTGTTAAAGGGCAGATTTCTCACAGGCAATTTTGTAGTCTGCTAAAAGTTTACATGGGTTCAATGAGAAAGTGCATTATGTCAAATGAGGACTATTAGTAGACTGTCGTGATGAGCTTAGAATCATGGAATCATTCAGGTTGGAAAAGTCCTCTAAGATCACGGAGTCTAATTCCAATGCCATTCCCACAGTGCTGCCAAGGCCACCACTAAACCACGTCCCCAGATGCCACATCTACATTTTTTGAACACTTCCAGAGATGGTGATTCTGCCACTGTCCTGGGCAGCCTCTTCTAGTGCCTGAATGAAGCATTCTGCGAGGAGTATATCTCTACTATCTGTGGAAAACGAGGTTCACTTTCCTGGTAAAATTTAAAAAGTTTAATAAAAAGACAGTAGGAGACAGAAATAAAGGAAAGGGTTAAAATCAGCCAAGAGCACACTTATCTTCAGAGAGACCTCTCAAATACCTTTTCCATTAAATCAGTGTGTTGCGTATTCACAGAATTTAGCATATTCATATTTCTCTATAAACTAGCTTACCTATTCCAGGAACTATTTTGCATGGTCCCGCCTTGGTCTGCCTTTTTAGAGTACGCGTGTTTCTTGGCTGTGGTTTTGGTCCTTTCTCTTTGTCACTTCCAGTTTGGGCCTTTATCCATGCTTCCTTCAGACGGCAGATGCTGATAGTTGGCATATCAATAGCAAGGTCCTCAGGACATGTTCACTGGATGTTATCCCGACTAAAGAGACAGCTCACTCTTAACGATATCAGCTACCACTACTACCATGTCTAAGCTTTTGTTAATAGCAAAAAAGCAAAGTTATTTTAACATTGTACACGTAGTATTCATCTTAATATTTGTGAAAAGCCAACAATATAATATGTATTTCTAACATATCCAAACGAAACCACCCCTGGTGCAACTTGAGGCCACTTCCCCTTATCCTGTCCCGTGTTCGCTGGGAGCAGAGCCTAACCTGTCTGCACTCACAGTGTTTAACACTTTTTTCTCTCTCAGTTATGGCAAAGCCATAAAGGCTAACTGATCCCAAAATCCTGCACACCCTTATTCTCATAACAGCTATCATCTCTCCAGGGCGGGTAAGGTCACTGACCCAGCAGAAAAGTAACAGTGCTGTAAAAAAGGTTTGCTGGCAGCGGTTAGCTGAAGCAGGGCCAGCCCCAGGACGGGGGCCGGGGGCTCTGATCCGCTGCCAGGGGCTGCCAGCAGCTGGCAGGACTGAGCCTTTAAGCCAAGCGTGAACGAGGAGAGACGTTTTAACATCTCATTTGGGGGCACTAGCAGAGATGAGAGCAGCTCAGAGCACTGTCCGCTGCAGTTTCAGAGGCAATGGCCCCGCTGTGGCCCCTGCCCGCCGCCGGAGCACGGCTGGCACGGCAGCCGCCATCCCCCGCAGGGACCGAGCTGCTGCTTCCAGGGCTGGAGGGGACCTGTGGGGACGGCAGCGCTGCCTCCTGTGAGGCTTCTCCTGCATCCTCTGGCACGGGTGTGACCAGCCACGCCAGGGCTGTGCTCCGGGACGGGACAGACGGGTCTGTGCCCTAAGGAGAAGCCGCTCCTGGCCGCCCTGCAGCGCGGCTGCCCCGAAAGGGTTACGAGAAGGGCTCCGCCCTTCCTGTACATCGGTGTCCGCTTGGGTGACCTTCCCGGCAGCCCTTGCTGGCTCTGCCCCAACCGAACAAAGACGACAGGAGGTTTTCAAACAGCCGCTTCCCTGAAGTTGGCTGCGGTAGAGCTGGGCTGCGCTGGCTGCTCCCGGCCGCCGGAGAACGCGGCAGCGAGTTGGTGCCGTCGCCTGAGAGGACCCCGGCAGCCGTCGGGAGTCCCTGTACGTGGGTGCTATGCCCATTTGCTTCCGTGCATTGAGCTCGTTTGGGTGCTGGGAGTGGCGTGGGGAAGGCTGAGAGGAACTCCCGGCAGTGGTGCGGGCACAGGGAAGGTGCAGCAGGACAGGGCTCCGGGCCCGCGGCCGTGCGGAGGCTGGTGCGGTGCTGATGTTCGGTGTCGGAGCTGGGAGTGGCATGCCCGATCTGAAGTGCTGTCCTCCAGCCGCTTCTTAAACTCAGAAGCCTGCCCAGCAATTTTCCAGCGAAGTGTAGATTCCTTTAGATACTGCCCATGTGTTGGTGGACGAGCAGGAGGTGAAGTAACAGAGCTGTGTGAGCGCTGCTTTTGGCTCATACTTCAGTGCTTTTTTGTCCCTTCCCTCGTGCATTCCCAGGCTTCTGCTGAGGACAGGCCACTTACAGCCACCTCCGCAGGTGAGCTGCTCTGCTCCGGTGCCCGTGAGTTGGAGCTGATTGTCGCTAAACGCTGCCTGAGGCTGAGCGCGCTTGTCCCGTGTGCTGCGCCGACTTGCAACTTGCTTCATTTGTCCTTCCTGTTAATTGGCTTTGGGTTCTGGTGGCAACTACAGAGAGCTCTCCTTGAGGCCCCGGAGATCCAGGTGATCAGCGGGTCATTCTGCCCGCAGCAACACTGGCATTCCTTTATCACGGCGAGGTGTGAGCCCCCTGTAGCCGGCATTGCTTAGCATTCGTGGGGATTGCACTGCAGCACGAGCTCAGCCCACAGCCCCCGGGTGCTGCTGTTTTCCCTGTGCTGCGGGATCTTTGGCCTGCCTCCTGTTCAGCCTGTCACTCCTGCACTTCTGTGAGAGTAGGGGTAGGTGTGTGTGTGGCTCCAGAGGATACAGTCTGTGTTGCTTCCTTAGAGGAATTGCAGGGTGGGGCATTTGTCTTCTGAGGACTTGGAAACTTTTCATCCAAATGTGTAGAAACAGCCTTAGTTGTCATTGCAGGGAGTTGAGAGAGTTTCCAATGGCTGCTTCCAGTTGTTGAGTAGCTACATAGATTTGGAACAACAAAAATAGGACATTTTGGCATTTCTCTAATCTACAGAAGGGAGTGAATTTAGCAATTTAGTTGAAATAGTTACAGGTCTGTTAAGTATCTGCCGTAGTTTCTGAACAACTGGCCCTCTCTTGAGCTCTAAGGCTATTCTTGCAGTGCCCACTGGTAGCTAGGCCATGAACAGGTTTAGGACTTCATGACTGTCTGTCTCTGGATGTGTCAGTGCATACATTTGTATATTTCAGGGCTTTTAGCTTAAAAACTGTGCCTTGATGCTCATTTTCCTGCAACACTCTTCTGTCCTGATGCTGTTGGAATATACCTGCTCAATGCTAAACTTAGACAAATGTCCTGGTTTCACCACAAGGAATAAATAGTATGTTACGTTTTGCAGTGATTTATTTGTTTGCTCTTAAGGCACGTGAAAGACTAGAAATTCAAGGTGTGCTTGTGGTGCAGCCAGTGCAGCTCTCTCTGCTGGAAGGGCTGTGTCTGTGGAGAGCAGTGATCCGAGTACCTAATGCTTTCCAGAGAGGCACAGGTAAAGGCAGGACAGTGAGATACTTGGCATTTATTGTTCTTGTCTGAATACTAAAGTTCACTTGATGAATTTGTTCAGTGTGAGGGCAAAGATAGATTTTGGAGCCAGAATGTGAAATCTAGCCTGCTCCTCTCCCACAGGCCACTAGGTGCTCTGTGAAAGCATCTTGTTCCTTCTAGCTGTGGTTCCAGTTTGGATGCTCCAAATAATTTCTTAATACGTACCTAACCTTTACCAGACACAGCATCACAACCATGCTGAGTTTGTCACACGAGGTAAAAATGTTGAGGGTGACCGCTGGGTTTTGGGCTGTGGGAGAGTTGATCCAGTGCAAAGCCTGTTGTTCAAGGCTATCAGTGTGATTTTATACAGTGTCTCTGCTCTGTGGTGTATGGCCTGGGACTCATTCACCAATAAGGGAGGATTTTCCAGTATTCCCGATACTGTTCCCTTTCTCCCCTCAAAGGTGAGGTAACAGTACTAACAACACTAACACAGTGTTGTTACCTGTGATCCCTGTGATCCCAAACATCCCAACACACTTTATCTTTCCACCATATCTCTATACCCTGTTTCCCAATGAGATCCAGGCTGCAGTAGCATTGTCTGAGGCAAGGGCAAACTATGTGTACCATTGTACTCAATTTTTTTTTTTTTTGCAACCCCCAAAACTGTTAAAAAAACCTTGTGGAGATCCAGCTTTCTTCACTGTTCACATTCTGAAAATCTTAAAGTAGAACCATAAATTTTTATGTTTTCCATGTTAGGATCTGATTTTTAAAGTGTGGCCAGGCAGGGGTAGCTCCTCAACTGCTCTGAAAGCACAGCTGTTGTCAGAGCAGGTGATGGAGCAAACTGAGCTATGGGCTCTAAACAGCTCACTTCAAATCCTGGGCCAACCCTTTCTATCTGCCATTCTCATGTCTCAAGTACAACTTGATTAAAATCTTCTTCTGAGGTTATCCCTTCAGAGGGGAGCCAGCATGGCTCAGGTAGCAGCAGCACTGTGTAAATTCATCTGACCCATCACCTTTTGATAAAACCTGTAACAGAGCTGCTCCTTCACCAGTTTTACAAAGAAAGGGTCAGGTACACAGGTAAGGTGGGATGCTGCATGCTGTTAGATAATGTTATTGCTTCCATAAGGCTTGGCAAATCCCACAGAACAGTGGCACTGAGTAAAATTGTAGCCTAGGAGAAATGACCATTTTCTCCTGGCACAGATCTTTCTGCTTTGGCAACATTTCAGCATTGGACACCTAATACCGTTCATCTTTTTCCAGGCTAAGTTCCACTGAACCACCTTGGGCAGCTCATTGCCATTCTTGGGGCTGTCCTGTGCAGGGCCAGGAGTTGGACTCAGTGATCCTTGTGGGTCGCTTCCAACTCGGGGTGTCCTGTGATTCTGTGAGCCTTTTCTGATTACCTGTCTCTGCAGAGCTACGACTTCCCAGTCTGTCCCTACTGCAGTGAAACTGTTCTCTGCATTAATAGCAAAGAACTATCCATGTCCCTTCCGAGCTGTGCCAGGCAGGCTCTGGACCAGGACTCGGAGGGCAGGAAGCCCAGTGGAGGATTGTCCTCCCCATGGACACAGCTCTCTGCAGGGTGAGGATTTGGGCATCCCTAGCAGACTCACTCCTTCCACAGTTCCTTTGCTCTACTTGATATATTTCTTGCTGTCTGAATCTATATCTGAATCCCATGTAAACCAGCACTGTCTTCCCTGTGCTTCTGGGAGATGTTTATAATAATTATTTTCCCTTCCAAGCTGATGCAGAGTGAAAAAGGACTTGTCTTGCCAGGTTTTGCAGCAGCTATTCCGAACACTACAGGAAAGCAAGAAAACTAAACAAGATGAATGAGTGTCCCTCCCCAGCTGCTTGCAGCTGCTCCAGGCTGTGCTGGGGGTCTGAGAAGGAGGTCTGGAAATCAGACACAAAGGAGAGTGTGGGCAAGAGAACCTTGTCGAGCTGTTCGTAATCACAAGGCCCAGATCTGACAGATTTGGCTTGTGTCTTTTTACAAGGTCCATGAGGATCGATCCCCTTTTGGCAACACTGAATCGATTGTGAATGGTAACTGTTTCCCATGCCTTGGTAAACCGGCCTTGCATTGTACAAAGAACATTGAAAGGAAAGAGACATAGCCACATCCAACTTTGTTCTTCATGATCTGACATGGACCTTCTTAGGGCAGGAGTATTTGCACTGTGTGGCACAGCAAGCCCTTAAGCTCAACATGCTTTGGGATGTTAACAACATAAAGTGTCTGTTTTCAATTGCTGAGACCAGACAATGAGCTGTATCTTCTTGCACTGCATCTTCATGCTCCCTGTGGGTCACAGCTTTTGCTTCTCTCCTTCCTCCTCTTCATTCACATCTGTTCTCAGTATCGGCAGTTTGTCTCTCTGGTGAAACCTGTTGCTGCTCCTCTGTTCCTGCTGCCTCATGACTTTGCTGCTCCTGAAATAGTGGATGGGAGCTTGTTGCTCTGATTAGGGCCATCCGTACATAAATGCCTCCATGTCTTCAAGGCTGTTCCATCTCGTGGGCCAGGCTGGCCACAGGTTTGATGCAGCTGAAACAGCCATTGAGAAAACACAGCCCCAGGGAAGCACAGTGACCTTTGCCATGTCTGTTGAAGGATTAAGTCTTCCTTGCTTTACCTCAGCATGAATTCTAGAAGCAGCTTTGCTTGTACCCTAGGATAAAAACTGCCTGTGTCCAAGAGCAGCTGTGAGACAAAAGGGAGAAGTTAATCTTCCCAGACATGAGCCAGCTCCACGGTCACACAGCTAATGTTTTGCCCTTGGGGAATTTGGCATTCGAAGCCAGGTAATCAGCCAGAAGAACTGTGGGAGAGACAGGTGCAGTGGCTGGGGTGGATGTGTGTGCAGGCAGGTGAGGGAGCTCTACCCCAAGGACGTGCAGAATGGACACTGTGGAGGTCCTCTCTCTCAGGTTCACCTGGAGTGGGGGCTTGCACAAGCACAGCAACAGGTTGTGCAGAGGAAGAGCCTGCTTGGCTTAAGGCTAGTGGTTACATCACTTGAGTTGCAGGAAGACTGAATTCATGCTCTTCCTCTTTTTTAGACCTTAAATCCACTCTGCTCTGAAAGGAAGTCTGGAGCATGCTGTCTTCTTTCTCCTCCTCTCTTGAGGCTGTTTCATTTTGTATGTATTATCTAGGCCAGAGCGTATGGGAACTAAGGAAACAATCCTGGTGATGGGAAGGCTGCTCCAGGCTCTAGGCTGTGTTTCTGTGGATATAGCTGCATGCAGAGTTATCAGCAGTAATACTGGGGTAAAGGGCCTTCCTCAGCTACAACTAAGTACATAAAGACCTCAGACATTGCAAGCATTCAGCAGCAGCTGAAGAAAGGGTGGCTAATCTGAAATTTGGACAGACACCTAAATTGGCAGGCTGGAGTAAAATTCCTGTTGCAGGTGTGGTGGTGTAACAAGGCAAATGTGTATGTCCAACTGGCTGTGTGAGGTCTCAGAAGCCAACCCACTAAAGGGAAAAACTTGTAGCCTGTGGTGCTGCATGACAGCCCTCTCTGATTGGAACTAAGTAAACTGAGTGATCCAGTCACTGCATCTTCCCCCAGGGATCCTCATCCCACTGCAAAACACAAGGGGTGTGGCAGGAAGACACTTTCATACCATGAAAAGCCATTGCAGCTTGCAGGGGAAAAATCTGTGGCTGCTGAATCTGGGTTTGCCAAAGGGCTTGCAGCTGTGGCTGGAACACAGTGTGACAGCCAGGGAAGCAGAGGCAAGCAGGATTTCAGAACAGGGGACTTCTATTGCCCACACTCAGCTCATGGCACCCAGTCTTTGTATGGAAATGCCAGCCAAGCCAACTTTGTGGTGCTACTCTATTTTAGAAATAGCAGCAGTTGAGTCAGTCCACGTGAGACTGTTTCAGGATTTTCTGGAGGAGATGAACCCTCTCTGTGTTCCTGATATCCACAGAAATGGAAAGCGTTAGATGCAGAGGGTGAGCTCCCACAATTGCTGTGAATTTTCTTACACAAATGTGCTCCTTTTTCCTGTCCTCCTGCAAAACCAGCACTGGAATTAACTTTTCCCAAGTGGTGTAAGAAACCATTATAGGAACCATGTCACTTCCAGCCTGGCTGTGGAAAGCAAAGGGAACCTCATCAGTCACAGGTCTAGGAAAACCCTTGAATCTTTCCCTCTCATTGAATTGATTTTTGTTTTTCCTTGTGTAAAAATTATTGGAGAGTAACAAACACCTTGAAGGCCAGGTGAGTGTAAAGATCTCATGTCTATTGTGAATGTGTAAGTTGATAAGGTGTGTGCATAGCACAGGCTGCAGCTCCCTGGGGAAAATACCCTCTGGAGAGGGAGAAAGAGGAGAACGTGATGGACTCAGTGTGGAAATGGGGAGCACATTTAGTACAGGAAAACTGTGAGTTTGCAGCAAGACCTGATAAATAAAGTTATAAATAGAGATGGAGCCAGGCCAGGCTGTTGCAAGGGCTGACTGTGGGATCTTATGAGTTGGCCTTCCAGTAGTTGAAGGGAGCTTACAAGGAGCATGAAGAGATACTTTTTACAAGGGCATCTAGAAATAGGACAAGGGGGAATGGCTTCAAGCTGTCAGAGAGTAGGTTTAGATGAAATATTAGGAAGAAAGTCTTCCCTGTGAGGGTGGTGAGGCCCTGGCACAGGTTGCCCAGAGAAGCTGTGGCTGCCCCTGGAAGTGTTCAAGGCCAGGTTGGACGGGGCCTGTATGAACCTGGGATAGTGGAAGGTGTCCCTGTCCATGGCAGGGAGTGGAACAAGGCGGGTTTTAAGGTCCCTTTCCATCCAAAGCATTCTGGATTCCTCAAATCAGGAGAGAGAATGAGGTGCTGGAGTGAGTCCAGAGAATGACAGTGAAGCTGGGGAAGGATCTAGAGGGTAAATCTTACGAGGAATGTCTGAGGGAGCTGGGGTTGTTTAGCCTGGAGAAAAGGAGGCTCAGGGGTAACCTTATCACTCTGTACAACTACCTGAAAGGCTTCTTCTCCCAGTGAACTAGTGACAGGACAAGGACATAGCTTCAGGCTGAGCCAGGGGAGGAGTCTGGTTGGACATCAGGAAAAATTTCTAATTTCTTCACAGGAAAGGTTGTCAGGCATTTGAATAGGCTGCCCAGGGACATGATGAAGTCACCATCCCTGGAGGTGTTTAAGAAAAGACTGGATGTGGCACTTAGTGCCATGGTCTAATTGGCAGGGTGTTGATCAGTCAAAGGTTGCACTCAGAGGTCTTTTCCAACCTAGCTGATTTCTGTGATTCTGTATTTTATGGAATAGACTCATGTTGCTTTCGCTGGTAACCCTTTTCCCATACCTGACAGGGGTGGAGTAGCTGTTGTGCACTTTGTCTGCCTTCAAGGTGTTTTGCAGCCTGTTTTGCAGCGTCTTCTCTTTTCAGGTCTTGGTCTACCTCTGATCAGTAAATAGATTTTTTTTAAAGCCCTGCTGCAGAGGCAAGTGCTGTTCTTGAAGGATAAGGAGCTTGGGTGAAGCCTTGAGCATTGATGGTATCTCCAGGGAGCTGCTGTCCATATCCATGCCCTGAAGCCATCCTGGCCAAACTCCTCATCCTGCTGCTCCTCCAACAAATGGAGGGTTCTGAGGGAACACTGTGAATTGGGAATGCTGAACTTATGTGGGATTAGTGGAGCAGGGATGGTCTGTGCCTCCGATGAACTTTCCCCAAGCCCAGGAAACCAGGGCAGGGCAGTGGGATCTCAGTCGAGGGCTGGGGAAGGGCTGAAGGGGATGAGCAGGAGGGATTTGGGACATGGGTCTGGTACACAGAGAGCAACACCTTCAGTGGAGAAGAAGCTGGAGGAGATGCAGTGTGGAGTTGGTGCTCCTCCAGGGTGCTCTCCTCATCTTCCCTGTGGAGGCTGGGTGAAGGCTGCAGCCATGGCTGTTGGCTTTCCTGGCATTTATGTAAATGATATGTTTCTGTCACCAGCTGCTCGGATACTCCAGTCCTCTGGCTGGAGACACTGTGGGAGGAGGGCAGAGTATATTGCCAGAGCTCAAACTCCTCACACCTGCAGCTTTAAGGTGGTGGTCTCCTTGGAGCATCTTCCTTTGATGTGGGGAAGGTTGAGAATTTCTGACCTTTTGCTCTTGCTCTGCAATTGTACTGTCCGCATCCAAGGATGTGTGTTTTCCAATACCACTGCCCCAGCTCTTCTCTACAAAGTCCCTAATGCACACAAGCAGGGCATGGGGTGGCCTCTAGACATAAACAGAGCTGAATCAAAGTAGAGCCTACATCTTTGCAGCTAATGTGTCTTTCTTTTGCCATGGAACAAGTAAGATGCAGAGGGGCAAAACTCTTATCAAATTGACTCAATTTCTCCCTGAGGCTGATGTCTCTGTGCCTTCTTGGCCAACATAACACATTATTGTCTTTTTTGAGATCCACATGTACCTTGGGGGCGTGTGGTTTGGAAAAAGTTCCTGTATCACATCTGCTTGGCAGCAGCCATTTGAGGTAGTCTCTAATCGGAAGCGTTTTGCTGCCTTCTGTGAATTCCTGGAAGATATTTATTTTGGTGAAGTGAAACCTAAAAGTATGTCCTTTAGGGAGCAGCTGCAGCACTGAGGGTCCAAGAAATGCCTGCAGATTAAGGAATTTGGTAGAAAGTGGAAAATACTCTCCACCATAGTTGTGCAGACACATACACGTGCATGTATAGACATATATAAGGTATATCCCTCTGTGGTACAGGCATGTACCTGGTGTGAGAGAGGAAGCACAGGAAGTGCAGCCATTATATTTATAGTTGTGCCTTCTTTACAAGTGTATCAGTGATTGCATTTGCTTCTCCCAAAGGTACAGGACAGTGTCCTCCCCAGACCCAAGGGCAGGCTCTGCAGCACCAGCAGTTCCCACGTGGAGTTTCCACAGTTCTGCTTGCCGTGACCTTCTGGGCCACCAGGGAGACACAGTGGAGTCCTGCCAGCCTCGTGCGATGACCCATCACTTGCCAGGACTCTCTCCAGGCTTCCTGAGACATTGAGTTGCTGCTTCTGATTCCTCACTGCTGCTGGCGGGGTGGGATTGATATCCAGTTCAGGACACTGGGAAGAGCCAAGCCCGTCACCATCCTCTGTGCCCTTGGCAGACTGGGGGACCAAGCTGGACCCCTCTCTCTAAAGGGGCTCCACGTGAGCGAGGGACAGGCGTGGGGCTGTCCATATTCACTCTGGCGGGAAGAGCCACCTCCTTCACCCTTTCCACCTGGGAACTGTGTCACTGCTGGGGATGGCACCACATGGACTCAGAGCAAGGACCAGGAGCCTGGCAGCAAGGCACTAGCTGAGCCTGAGCACCATCACGGGGCATAGAGCTGCCTGGGGGGTGCCAGCATCCCCACCACGGATGCACTCCGGGGATGTAGGTGCCGGGCACAGGAGGAGTCCTGGCAGCAATGGGCCGGCTGGATGACCACGCCAAGAGGAGGATCGTGGAGCTGCGCAGGGCTGGGCTGAGCTTCCGCAAGATCAAGAAGGTGCTGGAGCTGGATGACATCCGGGTGACGCCGCAGGCCGTGTACCTCTTCCTCAAGAGGAAGAGTGTGGAGCCGGGGTCAGTGGCATCTGGCTGGGATGGGGACCAGCCCTGGCCCCCGCTGCAGGGGCATGAGGCTGAGCCCCCCAGGCTGCTGGGCACCCAGCACCCTGCACTGCCCACCGGGGATCCTATGGGCAGCCGGGCGTCCTGCAGTGCTGGCAGCCAGGACACCAAGGAAGGCATCCAGATTGTCAGTGTGGCCTCACTCTGCAAGGACGGTGGGCAGCTTGGGGACACTGTGGCTACGGGGCTGGCCCCTGGAAATGGTAAGGCCTGGCTCCACTGGGGTTTACCATGGCCACTTCCTGGCACTGGTGGGCTCATGAAAGGGCCCCATTCCCCACTGGAGACCCCCCAAGGATCTCCTTTTAAGGTGTTTCTCTCTCTGTTGTTGCAGGTGATGACAGCTCCTCAGGCACAGCCCTGGCTCCAGGGACTGCTCTGGGGGGCCTTGCCTCCCTGCCCCAGCCACTGCCCAGCCGAGGGCAGCTGGTCATGCCTCCCACCCAGAACTCAGCTCTGATGGTGAAAAAGAAGACAGTGGACAGGGCTATCCTCTTGCAGAAAAAGGTAGGATGGCAGGATGTGAGAGTCCATCTGCTCCAGCCAGGAGCTGCTGCCACCTGGCCAGCCCTGCACAGAACCCTGCTGCATCTACACCATGTTGTGGGGCAGGCTTCGGGGGGTGAAAGGCTCCCAGAGTGCCCCCAGCCTCTGCTAGCTGCACTCCCCAGCAGTGCTAACCCTGACACTTGGCAAATATATCTGGGAAGCCCCTCTGGGTGGGGGGAGGCCACGCGCCCACCCGCCTCCAGCCAGCACTCGCTGCTGGCCATGGAGATGCCAGTCACGCCAGGCCTGGCCTCCAACTGGCAGCTCACAAACCTCTTTTTGAGGCTTGGTGTCAGTACCGTCTCAGGAGGTTCTTCCAGCCACCCAAGGCTATAAATCAAAATCCAGGATATGTTGTTTCTGTCCCTGCAGAGAGCAAACACAAGCCTGGCATCAGCTTGGGCAGCCGCCCTGCCATTCAGCGGCACTCACCCAGGATGGATCAGCATGTGCTAACAACATGGTGCACCAGGGGCTGCAGGGGAGCAGCAGCTTAGGGGCTGGGTGGGGCTGAAGCACAGCACATGGTGAGGTCTAGAGGTCTGCAGCGAGGTGACGCCTTTCTCTGAGAGCTCTTCTCTGAGCCTTGGAGCTAAGTGCAGAATAAATCCCTTGTTAAATTTGCCATTGAACGTGCAGCTGGTAATATTTCACATTCCCTTCTCTCCTGCCTCTCACTATTCCAGGTCAAAGATGCCAGCACTCAGACTGCCTTGCCAAACTCTGTGGATCCAGAAAATCGCAGCCTTGCTTGGGGCGGAGCAGTGCCCCCAGCTGCTCCCAGCTGCCCTGCCATCACCGAGAAGCTGGATGCTGTACAGATGGAGGTGCAGAAGCTGAGCCAGGCCCTGCATGCGGTGCTGGAGCGGCAGTGCCGCCTGGAACGCCAGCAGGAGCACCAGCAGCGGCTGCAGCAGGAGGTGCTGATGACACTGCAGCAGCTCAGCTCCACCATGAGCCACGGCTCTGTGCCAGCCACCCAGTCCTGCGGCCCCTTCAGCAGCATGGCCGAGCCCTCACCCAGCATGCCAAACTTCAGCCAGTTCAAGATGGAGCTGATGTGAGCCCCCACAAGGCCTGTGCTAGTGGAGCCGGCTGGAAGAACCGTCTCTCAGAGGCTGCCAAGGATTACATGCAGCACCCAGCAGAACGTTCCTGGTGCCTCATGTTCCCAGCCCTGCTGACTGGAAGGGACTGCCTGGCACGAGAGGCTGGACAGTGGAAGACTGAGGCCTTGCTCCTCCTGTGCTGCTGATCCTGTGGCACTGGAGCTGACTGGGGCCCATGGACCTGAGCAGAAGGCAGTTGCCTGCAAGGAGAAGATGCAGCTAACATGGACACAGAAGGGAGGTGGGACTCCAAGGATACAGAAAGCTTCCTTCCCATGAGGGTCAATGCCATGAAGATCAATCTTGCTCTCCCCTCCACAGAAGCTTGTTCAGTAAAAATGTGTCTATGCCACGGTTCAGAATCAGTGTGGGATCAGTATCTGCCTATTCCCTACCCCTCACCCCAGCCCGTGAGCAGGCTGGATCTGTCTGGGTCACTATCACCACGCATGGAACTGCACAGGGTGCAGAAACCCATGAGGTGAGACCAGCGCTCCACACATGATGATGTTGGAGCCTGGTATCAGCTGCTGCACCATTAGGGATAGATCAGACTTGTAGGAAACAATCTTTTACTGAGCAGATTTCACCCTCCTCACCCCACAAACCCAGCAGATCTGGAGTCTGGTACTGCTGCTGCCCACTGTCTGGCAAGATACGGGCAGGACCATACCAGTAAGAGTTGCACCTGGGCAGGACCTGATTAACTGGGTGTTCAGCTCTCCTCTAACCGGTTTTCCTGGGCAGGATACCCTCCTGGTTGTGATCCCCAGTTGTAAGGGCTGTCCCTAGAGCAGGCTGCTGGTGTTGCAGAGCTGCTCCAGCAAAGCAGGTCATGATGCTGAGAACTCCCTTGCCTGAACCAGAAGGGCACAGGGGAGGCTGATGGGCCCTCACTGAGCAGTGGAGTCCAGAAGGACCAGAGACTGGCCATGCCTGCCAGCAGGAAAGGTCTGATGGGGTGGCCTTGGGCTCAGCACCCAGTAGTGAATCCCAAGGGATGGCAGAGCATGTGTCCTTCCTCCTCATCAGCCAAGCAGGCTTCTGTCTGTGCCGGCACAGCCTGTGCCTATGAGAAGTCCCCAGCCTGTTTCTGAGGTCTCTTTGAGTCCAAGGTCAAAATTAAGAAGGGTAAAAACCAATGGAGGTGTTTGTGCACAGACACACACACGGAGCTGTACACGCATGCACAGATGCAGATCCTGTGGCAGGTCTGTGCAGCACCCCGTGCTCGGGGGAGCTGGACACCCGCTCTGCTCCCCGGGACACGTGGCTGGCCCAGGGCTGTCAGACCCAGCTGTGCCCAGGAGAGCTGGAAGTCTGCTGCCATCTGCCTGAGGTCACTCATTTTGATCGTGGTGTGATTTTGAGAATGTCTGAAAAGCAACAGATGAAGAAAAACACGTGATCAGTTGCTCTGCTCTTTTGCACAAGGCAGCTAATCTGCACCTCAGGTTTGAAAAGAAGAGGCTGGATGACCAGCACTCAGCAGGCACAGTTTTCCAATGTCTCTCTTAATGTTTCAGAGAAAAAGAGGAGCAGAACAACTGCTGTTCCCTGGCATGTGTACTTAAAACTGCGCTGGTTTCTGAAAGAGCTTCCCTAAATCTGACTTGGGCTATTTCTTAAATTATTAAAAAAAAAAAAATATATATATATATATATATACTGGGTTTTCTATTTCCCAAATGCATTCTAAGAACTTTCCTCACTTCTAACTCTTGCATATCAGTTCTTTATCCAGCAATAAAAAAAAAAACCCAGCAAAATTTATAAAAATAAACTACCTGGGCTGGTTAAATGACCCATCCACTGTAACATTTATTTCAGACAGACGTACAGCCTGAGTGTTCAGCTGCTGTTTGCCTCCTGACCACATCAGGGAACACCAAGTTATTATTTAATGTAGTGTCATGTTGTAGCATGGAAGGCGTTTCCCACCAAGGTAATCCTAAGGTGTCTGTCATTTCCATCCTGCTCCAAGGAAGAGCTCTTCCCTGTGGCCACAGCATCACCTGTTGTGTGCTACATGCCTTCAGCTTTCTGCTCTCCCACCACAGCATGTTGTCAGTACCACTGATGGCCCTTACACTGCACCTACTGAGATTCCCAGCATGATCCAGGATTTACTGGTGTTACCTTAACCTCCTGCAGAACCTGCAGTCTGCACTGTCAGAAACAGAGGCTTTGTGAAAAGGAAGGGACTTGGCTGCAAGGATGAGGAGCGGCATGTTGAACGGTCTGAAGGCAGTGCAGGTGTTTAGCTGAGTGTCTCTGTGCAGCAGTTACAGAGGAGGCCCTGGGGAAGGAGAGGTGGGGGATGCACAGCAGATACAACGGTGGTTTCTCACCTTTATGAAATAAGAAGCCAGGCCAACAAACAATAACAGGAGCAGGAGAGATCCCATAACAGAGAAATTTCCCAGCCCTGGAAGGAAGCTGAGGGAACAAAGGCAGAGAAGAGGCATTACAGCCATGATCTTTCCCAGCATGGGGGGGCCCTAGGAGGTCACACATTCAGAATCACAGAATGGGTTGGATTGGGCCAGGTTGGGTTGGGTTGAATTGAAAGGAACCTTTAACGGCCATATAGACCAATCCTTTGACATGGACAGGAACATCTTCCACTATTCTAGGTTGCTCCAAACCCCACCCAACCTGGCCTGGCACTTTCAGGGGTGGGGCAGCCACAGCTTCTCCGGGCAACAACAGCTTGGGCTGTCTCAGCCTCTGGCTCTTTTTGCCATGCTACAGCCCTTGTGGCATCCCACCTCTGGGCAGTTCCAGCCTGGCTGCCAGTAGCTGCTCCCAGCAATTGGGCCTCAGAGCTTGCTGGCTGTGTGAGCAACAGGTCCAAAAGCAAGGGCCTCCCCACTGAAGGCCAGTGGCTTGCCCACATGTGCCCTCTCCTGTGGAGATGTCGCCTGACCCTGGTCCCAGCCCCGCGCACTGTGCTGGAAGCAGAGTACCTCCTACTTACCACCACTGTGTGATATGAATGGCATATTTTTGGGGGTGACACACATATTTCGGGGGGTTTTCAGAACTCTCCCATCCATGGAGAAGGGATGGGGGCTGGCCAGGAATCCCTGGAGACAGGTTTTGATGGACTGCTGCTGCTCTGGATGCTGAGCCCACACCTGGCCCCAGACCTTCACCAGTGAGCCCACACACGTCATGTTAAGCTCTGCCAAGAAACAACAGCACATTTTGGGTGGTCAGAAACCTTCTGGTGTCAGGGATCACACTGCTCCCATGACTTTGTGCCCTCCTGCTCCCATGCTCTTCACCTTTCTCCCCCCACTGCTCTGAAATGATGCTGCCATGCCGCATCACTGGTAACTTGAGCACATGCTCAACCTTGCTTTTGGTGACAAAAGGGACTTGAGATTGTCATCCCACCCAACAGAATACTTTTTACTACACTTTGTACCTCTACCCGCTGGACAGAATTGACTGAAATTGTTCAACTGGGCAAAAAGGCATTTGGGTTAGGGAGACAGAGCATGGCAGCAAAGTCTTCCTTAAAAAACCAGCCAAACCCCAGAAAACATTTTTCCTGTCCCTCAAAAGCTGTAGTCCTTAAGGCTTCTAGAAGTGACAGTTTGGTCTGGGTACTTTGAATAAATGGAGGAGTTGGGAACCAGAGTTCTCTGGACTGCAAAGGGCTGTTTGCTTTGTGGGTTTAGGTTTGTCTGGCAGACACCACAAGGATCAGCAGAGACTGCCATTCCTCATGGGGCCCTCCAGCTTGGCCTCAGGAGCAGCCCAGGTCACACTGTCTCCTGCTCCCCTCACTGAAATCCCAGTGCCCACTACTGTTCCTCAAGGTCCCCTCATGCCAGTGCCAGCCTGCAGGGTGGGCTGGAGCAGGGACTGTCCTGGCAAGGCAGCTGTGGATGAGCAATTACAAGGGAAGAGGGCATTTGAACTGGGCATGAGGAGATGGGCACCAGCCTTGCAGGTAGAGGTCAGAGACACTGCAGGAGCACTCCTCCTCCAAGGAGTTCACCAAGACCCTCTCCAAAATCCAGCATCCTCCTGTGGTGCAGAGTCCACATGGAACAGTCTAGGGAAAGAGGATGTGTGGTTTTTCTGGGTGCAGTTCAGGACTGCTAGTAAGCTCCTAGCTATTGTATCCCTTCCAAAAGACTTGGCTTCATCCCACCTCTTCTGCCTCCCACTCTCCTCTGCCGTCTCCTGCCAGGTGAGTCTTTACTTCTGGTCTCCTACCACTGTACACCAGCTTGGCTCCTTTGGCAGCCTCCCAGGGAAGTGGGGAAGGGGCATGTCCCACATGTCACCACAAGGGCCAGTACAGAGCAGTCTCTCATGCTGGGAGAGGAGGGAGAGACCCACTCTTGTCCCTCTCATGAAGACGGAAGAGGAATTTCCATTTTGCCAGATCTTAGCATGCTGATCCAAGTGTGGTCTTTGCAGAGGCTGGAGACCCCCTGTACATTTCCTTGCTGACTCTGGGTCAGCACTGAGGCACAGGAATTGGTTTCCATAGAGGGGCTGAGATTGGAGGGTATGCTGGCAGTTTCCCTGTCTGTGCCCCCACCACCATGAGAGACCTGGAGCAGGGGGCTCCTGCCATTGCTGCAAATCTAACCCTGCAGAAAGAAATCCTGATCAGGGCTCAGCCTGGCCTGAGCAGAGACAACTCAAATGAAATACGTGGCCACCTGCCTATCATAGAATAGATATAGAATGGTTTGGATTGAAAGGGACTTTAAAGCTCATCTTGTCCCACCCACTGCCATGGGCAGGGATACCTTTCACTATCCCAGGTTCCTCCAAGCCCCTCCAACCTGGCCTTGGACACTTCCAGGGATGGGGCAGCCACAGCTTCTCCAGGGAGCCTGTTCCAAGTCCATAGAAGCCCACTCTGGAGCTGTAGGTGCTGGTGTTCTCTTGGGCTGGCAGCCCCACATCCACACATTGGTGTGTGCACCAGTTCTCTCCCAGTGCATCCCCTTTCACAGCAGCAGGCTGCCCAACAGCCCCTCTCCCACGCCATGGAAAGCTGAGGGCAGCCCCTGTCCCAGCCTGCCCACAGCAGCCTGGTGGGATGCCCTGCTCCACTCCCTCGGTGTGAGGAAGCAGAGGTGGAGATCTGTGGCACAGCCATGCTGGGACAGCGATTCAGCAGTCCGGGAGAGGGCTCCCAGAGGGCAAACTGCAGCCTGTGCTGGCACTGCCACAGTGGCTCAGGGACACAGGCCTGTCCCCAGAAGAGTCAAAGCTCACTGACATGTCACACATCTTTCTTCCCACCTCTAAATCCCACCCTGGGCCCCAGTTCCTGGTGCTGGATGATGGAGAGTTGGCGGGAGGTGGAGCTGAAGCTGGAGCTGAAGCTGGAGCTGAAGCCAGCTTTCACAGACCCATTGTAGAGATGGGTCCATCCAGCCCCTCCAGCTGGAGAACATGTGAGCTTGGCCAAAGCAAACGTACTTGGTTTGACTGGCTTCTGCAGGAGTAAGATTGCTGCCTCAGTACAGCTAGACTCCCACACCTAAGAGTTTGTCCTCCAGGATAGTTTTCCAAGCTACACAATACCTGCCCCTGCATTTCATTAACCTATTGCTCTCTCTTCACAC